AAGAGCGGTGGTGCAGGCAGGTTAGGAGACCAGTTCAAGGCAACACAAGACTTCTCTGGTGAATTCAAGAGTCAGAATTCAGGTGAGAGCTGTAGTCCCCATGTTTCAGCTACGAGACCACGCATCTTCTCTTTTGGCAAGCATGAGTGGAAATGCACTTCTGCCTTCCAGTGTCTGTGACCATGGTAGTTTCCAAGGGGGAGTATGCTGCAATTGTTTTAGTTTTTGCATTTCTGCTCTTCTTTCACAAGCTGCCTATAAAAATCTGCAATGCTATTGCATCGTCCTCCTTCAGAGCTCTCTTGAAAACACAACCCTACTCTGATTTCTGACAAAACAACCTCTTGTAATTAGGAGTTTGTTATGGCTGCTCCTGCAACCCGGCAGGGTTAGAGGAAGTACATGTCAGCAATGGCTCCTTGCATCCACCTGTCTTCACTTGTTGTGGATGCTGACTGCAAGCTTTTAGGGGCAGGGACCGTCACTTTCCACTATTGTACAAGGCCTGTCAGTACTTCTGACCACAGCACCGATGACGGCCTCATAGAACGCCCGTTTTCAGAAGACTTAAATAACATATACTCCTCTCTTCAGTTTTTATGAGGTTTTTAATGCTATGAGAAACAATGGAATTTATTTTTCTGAAGTCTTTCCTCTTCAACTGCAAATAATACAAGTGCAAAACCATCAGGAAGATAATACCATCCACAGTTAGGGAAAGGCAGTGTTGGATCTCTACGCTTCCTTTGACTCCAGCATAATGGAGTTAATTTAATAAACTGATAGATTTTGATAAACCGTGGCCGTGTTGTGATGACCTGCTTCTTGGGTATTTGTTGCCTTGTTCTTCAGGCAGTTTCATTTCTGTGTGTGCGATCACAGCACCCTCTACTGCCTCTTGCTTAACCGGCAAAAGGACAGCGAATGATCGCAAACTCTAAAAAAGGACTTTTGGAGCGACTAGACTCTCCGATTATGAAGTGTTGTTTTATATATTAAAAAACACCCCCGCCACGAGAAATGATAACGCCAGAAGGCATTTCACTTCTGTCTAGAAAGCAGTGCTGAGCTCCTAAATGAACAGTATGAATTCCTCAGGGGCTGAAGCACCCATCAGCCTGAGAGCAGTTTTCCCCTTAAGGGACTATCTTCCACTTTTGTTATGTCCGTGGAGGAAAAAATAAATCAATTTTCCTAGTGAGAAACATGAAAAGGCACTAGATGAAATGCTGCTTCTGTGTGCTCCCAGGTCAGCTAACCTGGGCCTGACAGAAAACCCCCTTTCCAGCACCCGCCCCTCAGGACCTTCAGGTGTGGTGGCCCTGCAGTGCCCTCTCGCCCCACCCAGATGCTGCTTCTTGTACAAATCTCAGGGTGTTGTTCACGTACCCTCCAACCACACCCTCCAGGCCTTCGGCCGGT